TGGAGGTTGATATAGGATTTAGAAAGTAATTAGTAATAAGTAATTAAATACTTTTTGGAGAGAGTAATTTGTACAGTAATCTAATTACACTGTTGAAGATGTAATTAGTAACTAGTAATTAATTACTTTTTTAGAGTAACTTACCCAACACTGGTTTGAACAAATAGAAATCAAGATGAAGCTCCTTATTTTATATTCATATAAGATTATTTTTTACATTGATATTTTTTATAAGTATAAAAAAATATATTATATAATATATAATTATATATTTATACGATTACATATTATCCACAAGATGCCAGACAAATAGAAATACACCAGAAATGAAGATGAAGCTCGTCACTGTCTGTCTGTGATGTATTTTCATGGTTGTGTTTGATGCCGCTGTTCTCTGATCGTCCCGTATCTCTCTCTCTCTCTCTCTCACTCTTGCTCTCTCTCTCTCTCTCAGCCCGTCCTGAACCGCGCAGGTCTCCCTCAGGGCCCATCCGATCAGAAGTACGTCGTGGTGACGGTGGATGATTGCGACACTTCAGTGGCGCTGCGCTTCGGTCACGTGATCGGAAACTACTCGTGCTCCGCCCAGGGCAGCCAATCAGGATCCAAGAAGTAAGAGCGTGAGTCTGACGAGCGCTAATCGCCAGTAATAGCGTGACTGTGTAATGTTGTGTTGTTTTGCGGCAGGTCTCTGGATCTGACGGGGCCGCTGCTGCTGGGCGGCATTCCCAAACTCCCCGAGGACTTTCCCGTCCGGAGCCGGCAGTTCATTGGCTGCATGAAGGACCTGCGCATCGACCAGCGGCACATCGACATGGCCGGATTCATCGCTAATAACGGAACCCTAGCCGGTGATTAGTGCTACTGGATCTTAGCGCTGCGTTTGACACTATTGACCACAGCATTCTTTTGAATAGACTACAAAATTATGTTGGCATAAGAGGAAGTGCATTAGCATGGTTCAAATCTTACTTATCTGACCGCCATCAATTCGTAGCAGTGAATGAAGAGGTATCATATCGATCTCAAGTGCAGTATGGAGTACCTCAAGGCTCAGTACTAGGACCGTTGCTTTTCACGCTTCACATGTTACCCTTGGGAGATATCATCAGGAAACACGGTGTTAGCTTTCACTGTTATGCTGATGATACTCAGCCCTATATTTCTTCGCGGCCCGACAAAGCATATCAGTTTGCTCAATTTCCTTCAACACACTATTTTTCTGTTCAATACTGTAAAGCTGCTTTGACACAATCTGTATTGTAAAAAGCGCTATAAAAAAAAAAATAATAATTGTCGCGTTGACCATGACAATGCTATCCCGTAATGAGTGTACAATGTGTTTTACCAGGATGCTCTGCGAAGCGTCATTTCTGCAGCACTAACCCGTGTCTGAACGGCGGCAGCTGCGTCGATCTGTGGGGTTCGTTCCGATGCGACTGTCCGCTGGGATTCGGAGGACGGAACTGCGAGAAAGGTGAGCGAGCGTCACGTGAGCCGCGCGTCTGTTAGCGGCGGATTGGTCATTAACGACACCTGTCTGTCCATCTGTCCACAGTGATGCCCAACCCGCTGCGTTTCCATGGTAACGGCCTGTTGTCGTGGCGGGATCTGGCCGCCATGGTAACGGTTCCGTGGCACCTGGAGTTCATGTTCCGCACGCGACACCCGACGGCGACGCTGATTCAGATCAGTTCAGCGCAACAGCACAACCTCACCATACAGGTGCAGTTAAAACACACACTTCATATTCACACCGTTTTTACAAATGATGGCTTTAGCTCTGTTACTGATACAAATACGCCACCAAAATATGGTTAGTTAGGTACACACACACACACACACACAGAGATATAAAACACACACAGATAAACACACACAGCTGATCAGCTTCAGCAGGTAGTTGCACTGACTGATTTTTTAATGTGTCTGCAGCTCCACCTGCTGGCTGTGTGTGATATGACACCTTACACACAGTAAACCTGGGTTTAACAAGCAGTTTTTGTTATTAGATTTGAAAAACAACTTTTTTTGTTCTATGTATATGTATTTCCTTTTGACATTTGGAGTGGGACATTGATAAGTTGATACTTGATTCATATAATATTTTACTTGAATATATTATACTCATATGTATAATTCATCGTAGAGCGTGTTTGATAGGACAGGTGTTTGTGAATTGAGTGATGATGTCATCAGTGTTGTTTTGGTCTGTAAATGATGAATGGACGTCACTGAGTGTGTGTGTGTGTGTGTGTGTGTGTGTGTGTCAGCTGAGGGAGGGTTACGTGTTGACGTCGGTCCAGCGCGGCGAGGACTCCACCGTGTCTCGTGTTGATGATGTCACAGTGAGCGACGGCCAATGGCATCATCTGTTGCTGGAGCTGCGGGGCCCCGCGGCGGGCGGCGTAACGGCGGCGCTGAGCCTCGACCACGGCCTGTACACGGTCAGACATGATACATTTGACCTCATCTTAAAATATTACTACATTTATTATTTTATAGTTTAATACACTTAAAATGTTTTGTAAAGACTTTTATAATTTGAATTTATTTACCAATTTAATGTAGATGTAACGTGTGTGTGTGTGTGTGTGTGTGTAGTCGTCTATGGATCTGGACTCTAAGCTGAAGAGTGTTAAACTGAAGACTGTGAGTGTCGGTCGTCACATGTGGTTGTCTGCAGGGTTTGCGTCTGGGTGACTCCGCCTCGGCTCTCGTGTTTCCCAGCATGCACCAGGCTGATGTGGTGAATGTGGAGTCGGGCTGCAGTCTGCCGAACCCCTGCGGGTCGAACCCGTGTCCGGCTCACAGCGACTGCAGCGATGACTGGGACACACATTCCTGCAGATGCCACAGCGGTCAGTCCGGTTCCACCGCTTATTCACTTCTGTCATTAGTTTTTGTTTTTATATTTTCCATTTAGATTTAAATTGTAGTTAGTTGCATTATTTAATTTAATTTAAATATTTATTTAGCATATTGTTGTGTTTGTGTATTGTTTACACATGACAACAGGTTACTACGGCAACAACTGCAGCGACGCCTGCGCTCTGAACCCCTGCGAGCACCAATCAGCATGCAGCAGGAAGTCAAGCTCCGCCCATGGATACACGTGTAACTGTCCCAGCAGCTACTTCGGCCAGTACTGCGAGAAAAAGTACGAGTGTTTCCTGACGCGCGCAGATTCACGGCACTGTGATGACGTGTGTGCTAACGTGTGTGTGTGTGTGTGTGTGTGTTCAGGATGGATCTGCCGTGTCCCCGCGGATGGTGGGGCGATAAGTCATGTGGTCCGTGTAACTGTGACACGGCTAAAGGATTCGACACCGACTGTAACAAGACCAACGGCGCGTGTCGCTGCAAGGTTTGATCAAACTCCTACTGTGTCGTTAAGTTACTGTTTTTAGTTTGAAAAGGCTTATTAAATCAGTTTTTTTATTAAATTGTATATTTTTATTATAATATTTAGATTTGATATTATTTAATAAACTATTATTTATTTAGATTTATTTTTTACGTTTATGTTGTTTAATATATTTTATTATATTATTATAAACAATATAAAATGTAATTTAATAAATACATTATACAATTTATTAAACAGTATAAAATTATAGTAATGTACTGTTAAATCGTTACATTTTTATATTGTTTAATAAATTGTTACATTTATATTATATAGTTTTTTTTTAGTATTTACTTTTTATTATACTATTTTAGTTTTATATTTCTTCAAAAAATATTTTTCTATTTTTTATTTTAATATTATTTAATAAATTGTAAAAACATTTTTTATATTGTTATTAAACATAAAAATGAACTAAAATAAAAAAAAAATGTAACAGCATTTAAAATTTTTTATTTTATTATGTATACTTTTGCATTGTTTTAGTAAATTTTAAACTTCATTAAAATTTTAATTTTAAAATTTTCTATCCTATTTAATTTTGATATGGTTTAAGTTGTAAAAAAATATTAATATTTTTTTTAACTAATTAAATTTTTTTACTTTTTAATTTTAATATTGTATAATAGGTTATTATTATTTGTTCTGTTATTTAATTTTTTATTTTGTTTAGAATATTTTCTAATATTTTTTTTTATTATATTATTTTATATATTTATATTTTATTGCTAGCTACTGTGTAATGCTAGCAAGTCCAAAAGTCATCCAGTCACAAAAAAAAAGCAGAGAGAATTGTCATCAGGCTACACAAATCGCAGCAGACTGCAGTTGGATGTTGAAATTGTTTGTGTGGTCAGGACAATCACTTCCGGCCTGCGGCGAGCGCGGCGTGTCTGCTGTGCGACTGCTACGCCGTGGGCTCGTTCTCGCGCTCCTGCGACCGGGACAGCGGTCAGTGTCCGTGTAAGCCGGGTGTCATCGGGCGGCAGTGTGACCGCTGTGATAACCCCTTCGCTGAGGTCTCTTCCAGCGGCTGTGAAGGTCAGACTCTCAGACACACGCTCATCAGGCTGTCATGTGTGTCCCACAATCCCTCAGTAACACGTGTGTGTGTGTGTGTGTGTGTGTGTGTTCAGTGGTCTACGACAGCTGTCCGCAGGCCATCGAAGCAGGAATCTGGTGGCCGCGGACCAAGTTCGGTTTACCAGCGGCCGTCTCGTGTCCGAAAGGATCCATGGGTAAGAAAAATCTATAATTTTGACCCATACAATGTATTGTTGGCTATTGCTACAAATATACCCCAGCAACTTAACACTGCTTTTGTGCTCCAGGGTCACATATTAGTATTTTACATCTTCGTACGTGATTTAATCTGTCAGATATTAGAGTTAAAACTGTGTTTAATGGTGGATTATGTATGTATATGAAATAATCCACTTGAAAATCGAGAAATGTCAGTATTTCTTATATATTTACTTCAATATTTGTGGATTTTATTTGAAGCTTTACACTAGATCTACATGAAACATTAAAAGTACAAAACAGTACTGTACTCATTTGTATTTATTTATTTCAGTTTTATTCAAACTTTGAAGTAAACTTTGTGTTAGAAATATTGTAGTGGCATTGTATATGTTTGCAGGAACTGCGTTTATAACCTTTTTATTAATTTAATTATTATTAGTTAAGCAAATTCAGTTTGATTTTTGTGTTTCACTTTAGCTAGAAAACGTTTAAATCCACTTAAAAATCAAGAAAAATTAGTGGAATATTTGTTGAGTTTCACACCAGATTTACATGAAACAATACAATTCCAAAACTGCTAATGCTAGCTACAAAAGAAGCATTGTTATTTTGTTTTTGTTTTGTTTTTCATTTAATTTGCATTAAAAAGCTGTTTCAATGGCTTCATATCTGTGTGCCGGAACTGCAAATCATTATCATTATTCATTACAATAATTTTGAATTTAAATTATAACTTATAACCTTTTTTGTTTTTTTAATTATTATTGGATAAGTAAATCCAGCGAGACTTCTGCGTTTCATTTGAGCAAAATCTGCTAGAAAACTCTTGAAAATTAAGTAAAAAATTTGTAGATCTACACGAAACAATAAACCTATAAACTACAAAACTACTAAAGCTATCTACAAAAAGGTATTAGTTTTTTATGTTATTTAGTTAGTCAACTATTTTTACATACTATTTTAATAGAGTTAAAAATAGTGATTGTGAGCAGGAACTTAAAATGTCATTATTTTTTTTTAAAATTTAATCTAGTTTACATTTACTTAATATTTTAATTGCATTCTATTTGTCCGCAGGAACTGCGATCCGTCACTGCGACGAGCACAAGGGCTGGCTGTCTCCGAACCTCTTCAATTGCACGTCTGTGAGCTTCAGTAAACTCAAGACACTGGTGAGAATCTCACGCAAACCTCTCGCGATTCAGCGTGATCCGCATATCCTCACGTGTGTTTTCATGTCTGCAGTCGGAGCGTTTGGCGCGTAACGCGTCTCTGATGGATTCCGGTAACGTCCAGCAGATGGCGGCGCTGCTGAGTAACGCAACGAAGAACGCGAGACAGTTCTACGGCAGCGACGTGAAGATCGCGTATCACCTGACGCGCGCCATACTGCAGCACGAAAGCAGCCAGCAGGGCTTCAACCTCACCGCCACGCAAGACGTCTTGTTTAACGAGGTACATAGCTGCAGCGCTAACATGCTACGATAAACATGTTGCGCAATTTATTTTTTGTGTGTGTGTTAAAGAAACCATGCATATTTCAGTTACCTCATAATTTAAATAACGCAAAAAATAACGCATTATGCGTCATTGGTTGTTTTTATTGGGAATACTAGTTCACATTTTAAAAGTAACAAATTACGAATAGTTGCAGATATTAGTGTTAAAACTGTGTTTAATGGTGGATTATGTAAGTGGATTAAATAATCCACATGAAAATCAAGAAATTTCAGTATTTCTTGTATTTCGTAACTCAAAAAATAACGCATTATGCGTCAGTGGTTGTTTTTATTAGGAATACTAGTTCACATTTTAAAAGTAACAAATAGTTACAAATTAAAAGTAGTAATGCGACTAACTAAAATTTTTTAAGCTTTGTCAAAATTTTTCTCTCATATGTAGAAATAAAAAGTCCATTATAATGCATTATTTCTAAATTGTTCAACGCATTATTAAATGTGTTATTTATAAATTTGTTTGTTACCTCATTTAAATAATGCACAAATTAACCCTAGTGAAAAATAAATATACTAAAATCTATTTGAAACACTTTTGTTTCATGCTAAACAAATACATTTACATATTTATATGCTTAATAAAAATATACACGTAATATACCCTAAACTGTTATACTTAAAGCCTTCTAAATTTGAACAACTAATTTTGTACTTGATGCACTTTAATTGTGCAGAAGTAGAGCTGAAGTACAACTAAAGATACACTGAAGCATATTTGATTGTGCTAAAGTGGAACTATTGCAAGTATTCTTCAGGTACACTTTTTAATATCTTGCATTTAAAGACGGATATTATTTTAAGATCATACAATCCTCGTTAATAGTGACAAGAAACCACATTTTAGACTTAATATTAATAATAAAGTAGTACTCCAAATAAAGTTTAATTAGAATTTTTTTTTCTGTAAGTCTCGAGCGATATGTCAGTAAATACGTTAATAGACTCGAACTATATTTAGAATGAAATAAACATTTATTTAATCATTTTTATTAGGAATACTATTTTGCATTGTAAAAGTAACGTTTTTTAAGTAGTTGCGTACTTAAAGTAGTGATGCAACTAACTGTTTTTAGCTTTGTAAAAAGTTTTCTCTCATATGTAGCATTTAGACATCTAATTTTAGTAAACAATATAATTACTAATTATAATAATTTATTATGATTTAAATTAAATTCTATTAATTAATTCTAATTCTATTCTTTAAAAAAAACGTTCCCTTTAGACTTGCACTCTATTCATTTACTAACTGCTTGTTTTCTTTAAAAAACTCTCTTCTTTTTGTATTCCGTTTTTGTAATCTGTTTTCTTTTTTTACGTAATTTAAAATAAAAATAAAAACCCTTGCTACGTGTGCTGCGTTAAGCTAACTGAGACTTGTTATAGCACTTGCGTATCATTGCTCTTTTGTTGATTTTGATTGCTTCCATTGTCCTGTAAGTCGCTTTGGATAAAAGCGTCTGCTAAATGACTAAATGTATGTAAATGTATAAATTATAATTTATATTCTTTTATTAACTGTAAATCCATATAAAAATCAAGAGAAATGGGAATATTTGTAGATTTTATTTGAACTTTCACACCAAATTCGCAGAAAATAATTAATTTTTATTAGGAATACTAGATGCATTTTTAAAAGTAACAAAGTAGTTACGAACTAAAAGTAGTTCAGAACTTTTTACTCTGTGATTGGTTGCTGTGGCAGCACCTGATGCACGTGGGCAGCGCTATACTGTCGGCGGAAACACGCGGACACTGGGAGCTCATCCAGCAGACGGAGGGAGGCACGGCTACACTGCTGCGACAGTTCGAGGAGTATACGAACACGCTCGCGCAAAACATGAGGAAGACCTACCTGAGCCCCTTCACCATCGTCACGCCCAACGTCGGTCTGTTGTTTCATTCCTTCACTGATTTACATGCAAACACCCTCCATCCGTACAAAAATGATTGACATGCCAAGAGTGTTTCTGATTGGCCAAAGATCTGCAGGCCACGCCCACAACCTCTTTAGTCAGTGATAGCGACGCATGTGATTTATCACATCACAACATTTCATTGAAATCTGTCAAAGTAGTAGGGACATTTTATGTGTGATAACCCCCCCCCCCACACACACACTTACATTTCAGTTTAGTTTTTGTTTTATGGTCTTATTTTTCTCTTGTGTATTATCATTTATTATTATAATCTATAATTGAAATTAATTATAATAATAGTCATTATTAATGATATTCTATAATAATATATCATTAATAATGATTTATATTAATTCTAATGCTTTATTGTGAGCTCAGTTAACTAAAAAAATAGTTAATTAAATCCAGTTATAAAGAAAGTTAATCCAGTAAAAACTTTGAGTTTAAGATTGGCAAAATATGCTGGAAAATTGTTATTATTATTATTATTAAAAAAAACAGTTAAATTATAATTTAATGAGGAGCTCATTATTTAATTATTTAGTAAAGTAAATCAGCAAGACCTTTGAGTTTTAGATGGCAAAAAACAAAATCTGTTGGAAAATGTTAAATTATATAATCTTTTTATATAATATTTTATTTAAAATATAATTTAAATGTAAGTTGTTTATATTATGTTTTATTTGCGGGGCATAGAGGAGAAACAATAATGTACAGTATGTGGAAAATAATGTTTTTTTTTTACTTTAAACCGCATAAACACATTTCATTACACCAAATACACAAAATAATGTTCTTTTTAGCAGCATCATATGACCCCTTTAATTCTAATGCTTTATTGTGAGCTCAGTTAACTAAAAAAATAGTTAATTAAATCCAGTTATAAAGAAAGTTAATCCAGTAAAAACTTTGAGTTTAAGATTGGCAAAATATGCTGGAAAATTGTTATTATTATTATTATTAAAAAAAACAGTTAAATTATAATTTAATGAGGAGCTCATTATTTAATTATTTAGTAAAGTAAATCAGCAAGACCTTTGAGTTTTAGATGGCAAAAAACAAAATCTGTTGGAAAATGTTAAATTATATAATCTTTTTATATAATATTTTATTTAAAATATAATTTAAATGTAAGTTGTTTATATTATGTTTTATTTTTATTTATTTTATGTTAGTTTTTATTAATCAAAGATCTTCGCGTTTAATTTTTTTTTTAGTATTTGTAGTATATTGTCTACACTAAACAATATATCTATCTATATATATATATATATATCTATATCTATCTAATCTATAAACTACTGAAGTTAGCTACAAAGAAGTATAATTTGAATTGTTTAATTGCATTTAGTTTGTTGCTTAATTTGTGTTAGTTGTTTTATGTTCTGTAAATCTGTATTATTCCAGTCATCTCCATCGATCGTTTGGAGAAGATGAATTTCGCCGGCGCTAAACTGCCACGTTACGAGTCTTTGCGTGGGCCACGCCCACTCGACCTGGAGACGGCCGTCACTCTTCCCGACTCGGTCTTCATCCCCGCCCCCGAGGGCAAAGGTCAGCGGCACAACAGCGAGCAAATCGCAGAGTCCGGCCGAAACCACACAGCGAATCGGAAGAAACGTCACCCGGACGAGTGCGAGCAGGACGCCATCGCCAGCATCATCATCTTCCACAGCCTAGCGGCGCTGCTGCCGGAGCGATACGACACCGACAAGAGGAGCCTCAGGTGAGACCAGATCAGACTAGACTAGACTAGACCAGACCAGACTAGACTAGACCAAACTAGACCAGACTAGACCAGACCAAATTAGACCAGGCTAGACCAGACCAAAGTAGACCAGACTAGACTAGACCAGATCAGACCAGACCAGACTAGACTAAACCAGACTAGACTAGACCAGACCAAACTAGACCAGATTAGGCTAGACCAAACCAGACTAGACTAGACCAGACCAGACTAGACCAAACTAGACCAGACTAGACTAGACTAGACCAAATAGACCAGACTAGACTAGACCAAACTAGACCAGACTAGATTAGACCAGAACAAACTAGACCAGACTAGACCAGACCAGACCAGACTAGACTAGACCAGACGAGGCTAGGCTAGACTAGACTAGACAAGACAAGACTAGACCAGACTAGGCTAGACCAAACCAGACTAGACTAGACCAGACCAGACTAGACCAGACTAGACCAGACTAGACTGACCAGACTAGACTAGACCAAACTAGACCAGACTAGATTAGACCAGACCAAACTAGACCAGACTAGACCAGACCAGACCAAACTAGACCGGACGAGACTAGACTAGACTAACTAGACCAGACCAGACCAGACTAGACCAGACCAGATTAGACCAAACTAGTCCAGACTAGACTAGACCAAACTAGACCAGACCAAACTAGACCAGACTAGATTAGACCAGACCAAACTAGACCAGACCAGACCAGATCAAACTAGACCAGACGAGACTAGACTAGACTAGACCAGACTAGGCTAGACCAGACTAAACTAGACTAGACTAGGCTAGACCAGACCAGATTAGGCTACACCAGACTAGACTAGACCAGGCTAGACCAGACCAGACCAAACTAGATCAGACTAGGCTAGACCAGAATAGGCTAGACCAGACTTGACTAGACTAGCCAGACCAGACTAGGCTAGACCAGACTAGACTAGAACAGACTATACCAGACAAGGCTAGACCAGACTAGACCAGACCAGACTAGGCTACACCAGACCAGACCAGACATTTACAATCTCACTGATTGATCTAACGCTGTGTGTGTGTATAGGGTTCCCAAGCGTCCGGTCATCAACACTCCTGTGGTCAGTATAACGGTTCATGATAACGAGGAGCTGCTGCAGCACACGCTGGATAAACCCATCACGGTGCAGTTCCGTCTGGTGGCCACTGAGGAGCGCTCTAAACCCATCTGTGTGTTCTGGAACCACTCCATAGTGTGAGTACACACTCGTACGTGTGTGTAGTGTAGATATGAGGAGGTGTTGTGAGTGAGCTTGTGTTGTGTTGTGTGTGCAGCACTGGCGGTCCGGGCGGCTGGTCTTCTAAGGGTTGTGAGGTGGTCTTCAGGAACAGCACACACATCAGCTGCCAGTGTTACCACATGACCAGCTTCGCCGTGCTCATGGACATCTCACGTCGAGAGGTGACTCGACTCGACCTAACCCAACACTAACCTGATCAGAAGTTAGTTGCATAGGGTTGGTCCTAGCAACATCCCACCAACTACCTAGCAACCACTGAAAATGCTCTAGTGATTTTTTACCACATAGCAATGCCCTAGCAACCACCCAGAAAATCCTACCGCCCATCAATCACTCAGAACTAGGGGTGTAACGGTACACAAAAATGGCGGTTCGGTGTGTGTGTTTGTAGAGTAATTTACAACAGCTTCAAACGCGGCTCAGCCAATCAGAATCAAGGACCGGAACTCTCCGGTCTGATAAGTCTGAATAAACGCGTGTTTCTGCTTCAGAATGGAGAGATCCTGCCGGTGAAGCTGATCACATGGAGTTCAGTGGGCGTGACGCTGGGCTTCCTCTTCCTCACCATCGTCTTCCTCACCTGCCTGCGGGAGGCGAGCAGCAACAAGACCAGCATCGTCAACAACGGCGCGGCCGCGCTCTTCATCGCGCACCTCGTCTTCATCCTGGGCATCAATCAAGCCGATAACCCGGTAACACGCACTTCCTTCCGGATTTAAAAAAAATTGGAGCGTCATGGTTTTTTATTCGCTCCACTACCGCTCCATCATGAGCACAATTCATGCCAACGACCCATAATATAACTGCAAGCTTAACATATTTAGCTAGCTTGATTTAGATGGATCACTCAAATCAGAAAGAATGTGAAGGTTATGATCAGGGCTGCGATGATAAATCGATGCAGAATCGATTCGTGTGCATCTTCCGAATGCATCGTGATTCTCTCTGGAATCGATTCTGAGCTTAGATTTTAACAGCAGATGGCGCTCTACTCGTTTTTATTTTATTTTATAGATAAAATAACTGATGAAAACGTACTATTATTTTCATCCTTCACAAACAAACTTTGCACTGCAAAAAGCAGCAATGATACCTTTTAATGCCGACAACCATGTAATTAGCTTGGCATGAGGTAGGAAAAAAGTTTGCACACTAGTGCTACGATAAACCACTGCTCTCCTAGTATTTATTTTATTTAGTGCTGGGCAACGATTAATCGCATCCAAAATAAAAGTTTTTGTTTACATAATATATGTGTGTGTACTGTGTATATTTATTATGTATATATAAAGACACACACATGCATGTTTATATATTAAATATATTTAAATATAAGTTATATGCATATAAATATATACATGTAAATATTTTCTAAATATATACTGTATGTGTGTGTCTTTATATATACTTAATATACACAATACACAAACATATATTATGTACACAAAAACTTTTCTGCATTTTTAGATTTTAAACAAACTTAATTCTGTATGATTTATAAGCTTTTGTACCCGTGGGGACCACAATTTAGGTCCCCACCGTGACACGAGTCCCCATGAGTCTGTGTGTATTCAGGTTTAAGTCCCCACCAGAATATATAAACCAGTACACACACACACACATAGACAGACAGACACACACACAGACAGACAGACAGACAGACACACACACACACACACTCCCTGATTTGGGAGCCAGTTTTATCAGTTAAATAAGACACAATAAACTAATGAAGCACTCATGAAGTGTTGTTTTGTTTCAGCGGAGACGATCTGAACAGCAGTCACCTGAGTCTGAGTGAACACAACACACTCTTCAAAGACAAAGAGCAGATAGACGGTAAACACACACACACACGTGTGTATGTCTCACAGCGAGCTGAGTTTAACCTCTGTGTGTGTGTAGATCACGACTCAGACTCTGACAGCGATCTCTCGGAGCTGGAGGACGATCAGAGCGGCTCGTATGCGTCCACACACTCATCCGACAGCGAGGAAGACGAGGGCGAGTTCCCGCAGGAGGAATGCTGGGAGAATCTGGCCACCAGCGGCCCCATCAAACCTCACGGTACGACATCAGGCGGTTCACGCGACTCTGCGCTTCTGTTAGCGTGTCTGACGTCTATCTGTTCATCAGATGTGTGGGAGGGTGAGACGGGAGCAGCAGACGAGCGTCTGAAGGTGGAGACGCTGTCCAAACCCGAGGACAGAGCAGAGGATCATGGGACGGAAAACCTGCTGCTGCTGCTGGCCAGTTTACCAAACACCAGCGCACCGCCACACAAAGGTCTGAACGAGCGAACGGATGAAATATTCTTGAGTTAACTAGAATTATAACTACACCGATAACTGTAATGATAACTATAACAATAATTGTACTGGTAACTACAACGATAACTATATCAATAACTATAACTATGATAACATAACTATAGTGATAACTATAATTATGATAACATAAGAATAACTACGATAACTGTAATAACTATACCAATAACTGTAATTATGAAAACTATACAGATAACTATAATTATAAAAATACGATAACTATATAATTATAGCTACAATGATAACGATAACTATTACCATAACTACAATTGTATCAATATTTGTTATGTTATTATAGCTATAATTATAATATACAATTACTATATTACAACTAAAAACAATAACTGTAATAACTAATTATAAATATAACTACAATAACTGTAACAAAGACTGTACTTAAAACTATAATAGCTATAAATTTAACTATACTGATACTTAATATTGATATAATTGTAATGATAGATACCTAACTATATCGACATCTAACAATTATAACTATATTATTAACTATACTATAACCACAATGATAACTATAAATGTAATGATTAAAACAGCAATAACTATAATGATAATTATAACAATACCTATAACTATTTGTATCTATAATGATAACTAATTATAACTATAACTATGACTAGCTGTAAGTGCTGCTGCCCAGTGTAAATTGTTAAATTTTAACGTGTGATCATGCCGCGCAGGAATCCTGAAGAAGAAGCAGCTGTCGCCCATCGCCGAGAGGAACGCCATCAATCACATACACAACCAGCTGTCTGGAGACTCCGCCTCCTCACGGGGCCCCTCCTCCAGCGAGGGCCGAGGGGGCGGGGCTAGACGGGATTATCAGAATGGGGCGTCCACGAGCGGAATGACGAAAATGCTCGACAACGACTCGTCTGAATCTGAGTGAGTGATTGACGTCCACTGATCTGTGCTCTTACTGTGACTGATTCATCAGTGACATTACTGTCAAATTTATATTAGAAAATCACAATGTTAATTTTAGGATATTATAATATCTTTATGCCTTATAGGGTTAGGGTTAGCTGGGTGATAATATAGTTATATTTTGCGATGAAATATAAAACTCAAGCAGTGGAGATTTGCTACATAGTATATAGTTTTACGAGTGTACTGTATGTATGCAGATAAATATATATCCAACTTTATATAAAGTGCTGTGCAATAATAGTTTAAATTTTG